TGCTTAAGAGGTGTTGGCAGAAACACTTACCCTATAAGATGTCCTTTCTAGCATGGCGCGTTTTGGAGAGGCGCCTTCCCACTGATGATGTCCTGGCGAGATTTGGCTTTGCTTTGCCTTCTCGGTGCTTATGTTGTTCGCCGCCAGGACGGGAGACCATTACACACATTTTCTATCATGGGAGCATGGCGCGGCGTGTTTGGACTTATTTCACAGAGTCTGCCCGTATACGGGGCACACATCACAGTTTGAGGTCTGTCTTGAGTATATGGTGGGCGCAGAGGCCTAGGAGCAGGATGCTCTCGTTCCTGTTCCACCGCCTGCCGATGATCATTCTTTGGGAGATTTGGACGCACTATGCTGCGTGCAAGTATGGGGATGCTCGCCCCAACTTTGCACGCATTATTTTTCGGGTGGCTACGGCGGTGTCGGAGTGCATCTATCGTCGCTGGCCTAGCGGGGGTCTCTTGCCTTCCCGATGGTCGGTGATCATGGAGCACGTTCAACGAGGCTCTAGACGCAGGAGGGTGGTGCCGATTCGGTGGGTCCCACCGCCGGGTGGTACCATCAAGGTGAATGTGGCGAGGGCCCCGGTACGTGGGGCATTTGCAGCGATCGTGCGTGACTCGACAGGTAAGTTTCTTTATGCTCTTTCTTCTATTGCATTCAGGTGGGAACCAGTGGAGCGTGGAGGGATGGACGTGCTTCTTCGGTGTATTCAGTGGTGTATATCCCAGTCCTTCTTGCGTATCCACGTGGAGTCCCATCATTCAGCGCTAGCTTGTTTCTTTAGAGAAGGTACCCCGTGGTACCTTCATGATGTTTATGTTAGACTGCGTTTCCTCTGTTCTATCGCGACGGTCCAGTGGTTTCATTGTGACGTGCGGGCGAATGCCCCGACGACTGAGTTAGCATTGTGGGCCGTGGATAGTACAGAGGGGACGCGGGAGTTTACTAATCTGCAGGATCTTGACATTCGGGTACGATCTCTCCTTCCTATGGACGATCTGCTCTTCTTTCGCATAGATGAGGATGGGGGTAACCCCTAGTTGCACTGATTTGGGTGCCTTAACGACCGCGTTTGCGGTTAAGAGGCGCACGTATGTACCCGCGGTTAAAGGGTGCCTTAATTTCCCCCTTTTTGATAATGACAAACATAGTTGAGAAAAAAGCAACGTATAATTCAAGAAATACTTTCCTTAATAGATTCCCCCTGCAAGGTTAGAGAAGTGCAACAAAAATAATCGGAGTAATAAGCGGAAAAACAATTTTGAAAAACAAGTTTTCTCAACGATCCTTCCTTCCCCCTTTTGGCATTATCAACCGACAACCTTCCCCCTTAATTGATGCCGGGATTTTGAAGGAAAAAATTGTAAGAGTTTTCAAAAGAGCTTCTAACACGAATTGCATCAAAGGGACAAAATGTTCTAAAAGAGAACCATATTAGCAACAATATCATTCACCAAAAGAGTTATAACAGTAATAGCAAATAACAATGTATCATAAAAAGCTAAGATGGAAGAGAAAATAATCAAAGAGAGTTCGTCGGACGAGCTCCTCCGCTGAAGCTGTGACGCGGGCCACGGTAGGAGCGAGATTGCTCAAGACGAGTCATCCTCTCGTTGAGCTGGCGAACGTCATCTCGGATGCACGTGAGAGTATCGAAGATCTTCTTCACCCAAGATGGTTCCGGTGCTTCTTCTCTCGGACGAGTCCTCCGTTGACGAGTGACGCGCTCCGTGGCTCGACTACCTCCGGCTTGAGATGACTCAGCTTGATTCTCGTTTTGGCTTTCTTCTTCTTCTTCGGCGACGATTAAGTCCAGATTTGGTGCAGCATCGCCCTCCTCTTGATACACGATCCGGGAAAACTTGGCTTCTGTGATGAAACACGTCTTCTTAACCGGCACCTGAGTGTCCCGAGTAAGGTCTACTTTGCAATGAGCAAGGATATGCATAATGGGGATGGCAAAACGGAGATGGGAAAAGCGAGTGCCATCGCTAAGTGCAACGATAAAGAAGTGAACCCAATCAAATTTGACATCGTTCAACAGGACGTGAAACAAACGAATATCGTCCTTGTTGACGACGCCATGGTTCGAATCACGGGGCAACAAAACATATGAGAAAATGTATTGTTGGATGCGTTGAATTAAAGTGAGATTAACGACACTCGGGTTGCTAGAGTTTCTAAACTTGAGGTCACGATGATCTAACCCGAGTTGTCGCCATATTGCCTCATCTTGGAATGTTTCATCCAAGTTTTCGGTAATTTCACCGCGACGAAGGCCAAACAAAGAAGTCAAACCAGCACCGTCAATGAAAACGGTTTTGCCGTCAACATAGGAAATGAGAGATGGCGAACCTCCCTTAGTGGTACGAAGATTTGCATAAAATTGACGTATAAGATTAGGACAGAAAAATTCATACGTCAAATGAATGAAACGAAGCAATCCTTGCTGAAGGAATATAGACTTACTCGGGGCATAGGTCGCCGATTTGAAGAGGTCCTTGTTCACGATCTTGGGAGAGACGATCTCCTTCGTGAGGAAGATGTTGTGGAACCTCTCGACTGAAGCTCCAATGTTGAAGGCGAGACCCGTTTGAATGTGAATATACTTGCTCCCTTCACGACGCCATGGCCTCTCATTTTCCTCTGCCGTGGTTTCTTGACCCGAGGAAGCGTTCTTGCACCTTGGCATTCTTCCTTTTTGTAATTGATGAAATTTGGTAAAAAATGGAACAAATTTGAGAAATTTCTGATGAAGTTTGAGCAAGGGTTTGAGCTAGGGTTTCGCACCTTCTCTGTAAAACTGAGATGGCGATGAAGACAAAGGCACTGGCGGATTATACAGAGAAGAAAAAATCGAATATTAATCGATTAAATAAAGGTATTTAATCGATTAAGGAACGCAGCCGAGGCAAAATCGATTATGTGAAGAATTTTAATCGATTAAAAATTAAGACCAAACGTTTGCGTTGCAAGCTATTAATCGATTAAGCAAACGTGATTAATCAATTACGATGGACAGATGAGTCTAATCGATTAATGTAACTAAATTAATCGATTAAAGTGATGCAGAGCAAAAAAGTTTCGGATTTTAATCGATTAACAAAAGTCAAGTAATCGATTAAGAGGGACAGAGGCGACTAATCGATTTCTCTTCGAGGAGTAATCGATTAAAATTTGTTTGACAGAAAAAAAATATCAAGTCCAATTAGGTTGAATACCAAGGGAAGAGATACCTACAATAAAAGCCCTGCAAAAAAGAATTTATCGCGCCTCCGACGCTCAAATTAGTATGGTCAAAAATGAATTAGTTCATAGAGATATCCAAAATGCCAAGTTCGTTCCGTATGTGGAAGAAACTCTCCCTACTAAGGGGTTTCGTGAAAATGTCGGCCAATTGATGTCTTGTTTCAACAAACTCAATTGTGACATCTCCCTTTTGGACGTGATCTCGTATGAAGTGATGCCTAATTTCTATGTGTTTAGTCCTGGAGTGAAGAACGGGGTTCTTCGATAGACTAATGGCGCTCATATTGTCACACCTAATTGGGATGTGATCAAGTATAAGGCCGAAATCCACTAGTTGTTGTTTTAGCCAAAGAATTT